TTTGCTGCTTTGCCAAACTTGACGGAAACAATAATAAACAAGTTGCTGACATATTTTTTTTTTGCTTTATGGGCAGGTACAATATTTTGAAATAGAAAAAAATCCGGCAACATTGCGAAACAATGGATGTGGAGAGGCGTGATTATTAGGTCGCCATACACACACGTTATTTCGCGCGGTTTATCATGGCGTGTTGGGATGTAGCGGTTTGCACGCGCGAAAGAACGGCGTGGCAAAAAAAGCGTCATGTTCAAATGATTTAGCACGTGATTACGCGCGGCATATCAGTTGGAAAGAGAAAACTGTATGTGTATGGGTAAAAAGTGTCATTTATCTATCATTGCGTGTAGCCCTCCTCACTCACGCACATGATTTTTCACAGATTTTTGCAGATGACACGATAAACCGCGCGAAAGAACGTGTGTCTATGCCGGCCTATTCAGAGGCATGATTCCTCGCATGATTCTATTGGTTAGAGTCTGAACGACAGCACTCAGTGGCGTGGTTACCGGCGAAACTAGAGTTTTTTTTTTCTAATAATTTTATTGGTTTATTTCCTTAGTGTTTTCGGTGCCACTGAACTCAAAGACATGGCTGTCATCAGGCGGTGTTAGTTGAGGTGTCAGTGAATATTTTTAGGTCACGCCCCACTTTTCTTCCCCCTTTCGTCTCTACCAAGTTACCACTTGCCAGACTATAAATACTATTTGAGTTTCGAAAAAAACAAATAAAAACAAGGAAAACGGATTTTTAAATTATTTTTCCTACAACTGCTGCTGAAAATGGAGTTTTTCGCACGCTAGGCAACCTCCGAAAATAGAGTGTTTCGCACAGCATGCGAAAAAGTTTTTCACACGCTCCTCAGGGTGCGAAAAAGTTTTTCACACGCTGTTAATTATTTTTTCTACTAGCGTGCGGAAAAGTACACTTTTCCGCACGCATTTTAGTTTGGAAAGTTTGTGAGCTGACACACACAAATATAGTCCAACACATACCATTTTAAAGTCACATGATTTTTCTCTATCCTTGTTGAATACATCTCAAACAGCGGTGATAGTAAAATTGACAAAAAAATTGCTGTCTAATTATTGTTCATATTCTTACCTGAAATAGAATCCGTCACTGTCATCAATTAGTTTGTCAAAGTTATTTTAGAAAATGATACAACGAACAAACACTGCTAATAATTTTGACTATATTAACCTTTTTCCAACTCAAAAAGATGCAAATAGAAAACGGGTACCCAATTCAAGTTCAGAATGTATTACAAGGGGCAGCAGAAGCGACAAAAGTGAGTCTCGCAACAATTGCAAGTAAAGTCTGTTTTTTTTTTAAAGATAATTCCCCAAGTCAAAAATTTAGTAACTATGTTGGCAACATAAGCCTTTGCTACATAAAAAATTTGAAAGCATTGACAATTTTACATTGTATCGCCAACATAATGTCATCTTGACTTTTATCTTTAAAAAAAAAAACAGATTTTATTAAAATTCTCATCTGATTGGTCAATACTAGTGGGAACATATCTTAAAATTCAATAGTAATTAACCACAAGTAGCTTTTTGTAGGTGATATCAACGAACATACGTTTTTTGCCACCAATATCACGTGACTTTAAAATGGTATTTGTCGGACTATATCAGCATTGAGAATTATTGACACAATAACGTTATTTATTAAATTATTTTGGTTTAAACTCAACTTTTGTTGTGAAATTACTATAGAATGGTTACTTTATGCTTAAAAATTTCGAAAATTTCATAGTGGATACATCAAACGTACAAATTATTGTTAAAAGTTCTCGATTTTATTGTCTTCAGAATAAGGCACATTATTTCAGAATTAGTTTTTTTTTTTATTAATAAATAAATGAGTTTTATTTGTAAAAGTACCTTATTTATATTAAGAAAAAATTACTCGATTTGTTTTTAATACCAAGTGTTGAAGAAGAAATATTATCAAATATTGGTGTTAAAATTTACATTACGTAGGTACGTTCCTTCTAACTCGTAGAAAAAATAGTGTTCCTAACTCGTGCGGAAAGTTTCCTTTCCTCACTTGATTGCTTGCTACGCGTCGTTCGGCAAACTGCAATCGCGTGCGGAAAAGTGGCACTTTCCGCACTTGTTAGGAAATATACTATTTTCTATTTATTTTGGTCCTGTCATCCTGACATGAAAACATAAATTGCTATTGTAACCAATTTCTGATGTTGATGATTTGTTTTCTTTAAGACGGTTTTACACTGACAATTTATTGGTCAATTTATTGATCAAGTTGCTTGTCAAGAAATATTGCTAATGTAAAACGCCGAATTGGCAGCAATTTAACTTGTCCAAGTTCTCGCTCAATTTATTGATGGATTAGCGCATGTTCTATTTTTCTGTCAATTTTTGTGTCAATTCAGGAATTCAACCTAGAAATGACTTAAAAATATTAAAGCTAGGTGAGGATATTTATTTTTATTTATCATTTACTTGTTGATGTTCAGTTTATTCTTCTAACTTCAGTTTCTTCTAGTTTTATTATTAAACATCTTCAAAAATATTTCTGGGTGAGCCATAAATAAAAATACATAACCTTGAAATTTTGGTTAAGTTGGTAGAATTGTTCATTGTCGTTTGTGTTGTCAGCAAGCTGATCCGGTGTAAAGCGAAGTTGAGCCATTGTTGAGCCGAGTGTTGAGCCAACATAAATTGGCAAATAAATTAACAAACAAATTGATCAATTTAAATTGTCAGTGTAAAACTAGCATAACAAATAAAAATTACATATTTGGTTGTTTTATTTTGCAGTTGTAGGAAAACCATTGTAGAAAACTCGTTTGAAAACCTTTTCCTACACTCGCTCGACTTGTGGAACTCGCCAACGGCTCGGTCCAACAAACTGTCTCGCTGTGCAAAAATAGTTATTTGTGTACCAAGGCCGTAAAGTTGATCTTTTTTGGCCGATTCAGAAATTTGCGGCCGAGGCGCAGCCGAGGCCATGCAAATTTCTGGTGAGGCCAAAAAAGATCATTCGGCCGAGGTGCACACAAAATTTTTTAGGCGAGCGTTTGTTCTTGAAAAAAGATGAAAATTCAACAGTAGCTTTAAACTTTTATTGATCAAATAAATAATCCAGCAAAGATAGTAATTATTAGTAGCAAAAAGTACGATAGAGAAAGTGTGATTATAGAAAATTGCCGACTTTTTCGCCTGGTATCCTACATTGGGCTTTTTTAAAAAAGCAATCAATTTTGAAAACTTGCTGATATGTTATTTTTGACTATAATTGTAAATTTTGACATAAAGTATACATAGGTGGACCTGTGAACTATTCCTCTGAGCTGTGAACCATAACGTTAGGGATTTTTTTAATTTTGGCATTTCTTGAAAAAAATGCAAGAAAATACTTCTCTCAAATTTTTAATCTGAAGCCGTTTTCTTTAGCATTTAATGTGGAAATTTGGATAGAGCTAAAATTAAAAATTTGGTTTCATTGTGGTTGCTAACTAAAACGGTACCGCGTTTTCTATTGTCTGTTTATTTTGACCAAAGTAGCGGCCGTAAAGTAATAAAGCAAATGCGGCCGTAAAGTAAATGGGGCCAAAAAAGATATACTTTAGGGATGATATTGAATCCGTAAAACTAATCTTTTTGTGACAGTTGCCTAAAAAAGTCGTTTTCAAAACTTGTTGTTCAAATAACTATTAAAAAATAGCTAGGTGACTACCTACAGTACCTACACCTACTATAGAAGATTTTTTCAAATCATTTTGTCAAAAAATTACCTACAGCAAAAATGCCTGTGAAGTTATAAAAACAAAAACCCTCTGTGCACATACCAGCATCCAAATATCAATCCAATAATAATCCCAAGAATATAATCCTATGTAAGTAAGTATGTCAAATAGGTCGGTAGGTACCAACAAAAAAGGCACTGAAGAACCTCTGAAATTTATTCAAGCTTTGACAATCATTCTATTTCTGCAAATGAATCTAACGATTTGTATTCTTCACAAAAAAAAAAAAAAACTTAAGTAGGTAGGTACATATTGAGGTAGGTATAATATTAAATAAATACCTAAATATTCGGGAATAGTCTAAAAGGTGCAACTAATCTGTCTACTTCATTAAAGTTTTGATAATTGAGAATTTGTTCAACTGAGGATAAAGCAATTATCTAAAATCTCAGTGCCTCGGTTCAAATTTCTATATGAAAATAATATGAAGGCATCTTATGGTTTAGTATTTTTAGGTAACTTGAAACCAGCATCCATACAAATTACCAATCCTGATATTACATGGACAATTTAAAAGTAAGATTATTATTGCCAAAAAGAATCAAATTTACTTAAAAGTTTTTTTGTTGTTAGAAAAAATTAAAAATAGTGAATTAGGTAGGTAATTGACTATTATTTCTTGAAAGTTATTACCTAATAGACACAAAATTGGTTTAATAATTGATAAAAACAGTTATTTGAAAATAGAAAAGGCATTCAAATTATTGATGGGCTTATAAAAAACACCATTCTTATCTCTCCAATATTTTGACATTTTATAAACAATAACATTAGATTGTTACTTTTGTGTTTATTTACAAACATTTAAGGGTTTTTGAGTGGAAATTTCAATATGGGCCAAAGGCAGCAGAGAATGCCTTGGCTTATTGAAAATTTTAAATGATTTTCAATACAATAAAAGACATCCAGAGAGTGACACAAGGAGACACCACAGCTTCAATAGATACACAAATTCATCCCAAATATTTTGTTTTTCCAGGGTTTAATTCTGGAAATTCCCAAGACGATTTTCATCTATACTTAAAATAGCACTGAGGGGCACTTGATAAAGCACTAAAAGCACTTGAACATGGTCCAAAAGGGCCCGTTTGTAGTGTTTTTGGTCCGCACGCTTGTTTAGTACCCAACACTACCGAGCCGGATTCCGGCACAGGGACGCGGAAAATTGACGGATTTTCACATTACACTAAATACTAGGATTGTGCACTGTACATACCTGGTGCTTTATTTGCTATTTTATTAAAACAGGTTGTAAAAACCTCATACAAATGTTGCATAGGCTCATCATCGCTGGCAGCCATTTTGGGGCACTAGACACTACTGACATGAAAAGGCAGCGATGCCGGATCAACTTGACATTCCATCTTTTACGATTTAATTTTCACAGGATTTTTTACAGGATTTTATTTGTTTCTAATGATTTTTTCTCCAACGTCGAACATGAATTAACTATGTAAATTCATCAAATAATCACAAAGGCTTGTTTCGAAATGCGCATAAATCCTCTTTGTAATCCAATACGACTAATAAATTAACAACAGAAACAAGGAACGCAAAAAATACGTTTGTTTTAAATTTAAAATAGTAATTTTTGAGCATAGAAATACAAATAATTTTACAAAAATTTATTCTTGGTTCTTTTTTATATTTTAGTTGCACAACTAAACTTAAAATAGTGGGATCACCCCATTTGTGCTAATGTTCATTTGCTGGGATCACCCCATTTGTGCTAATGTTCATTTGCTCTACCCACCCGAAGTCGCCTTCGGGCGGGAACGTCGGACGAGCCGAAGTCCGACCGGAGTATGACCCTCATCGAAACGAATGCAGTTGTTGTAGCGCAAATGGGTACAGCGTTGCCGTTCCCTCTCCATCTGGCGGGTATTTAAAATAGAAAATAGAATTCTATTTCGATATTTTTCAAGTATTGAGTGGGTGTGGTGTTTTGTTTACTTTAAAAATGGAAAATTTTAACTTTTAATATTTTATTGGTTAAATATTAATTTATTTTAACCTTCCATCGCGAGTTTTATAACATCATTAGTCACGCTGTATCACAGAGATACATATACTAAATCATTGATAAAAAAATTGAACCATCTGATGAATTTCGGTTTTACAATTTCTATGTATTGATTCGGGTACTCAACAATCAAAGATAGAACATTTTCACTGAGAAAGAGATTCCAGAAGTTGAATTCTATTTTCGCTATCTTAATGTTTCGAGCGCGCTCGGACTGCTCGGAGTTTACCGAGTGTAAAGCCACTGTGTGCAAAAGCTAGTTTCTGGATAGGAATTAGCAAATAAGCTATCCAAGTGCTCCTAAATAGTCGAAGAAGAACAGTCATTCAGATTTTTTTCATTACCAGGAATCACCTTTTCTACATTTAAAATCGATGAAGAAACAAGCACAACCTGAATCGCAGACGCAAGCATCCCATCGAGGCTTGCGGGTGACGTCACCACTATAAGAGGCTATGCTGCTAATAGTACTAACGTCACTCGCAGGCCTTGCCGACTCGAGAATTGGCGAACGTACGCGTTATAAGGAAAAGCAATCCTATAGTTTATGATTCTTGCTATGCAAGTGTTTCCAAATAGTCAAAAAAAATTTGATCAGTTAATCATTAAACTAAATAGAGATTTTTTCTCATTATTAGGAAATGGAAATTGTTGGCTTCACGTTTAACTAGTTGGTGGTTAAAAGCTAAATTTTTTCTGGATAGGACTTAGGTGCTCAAGTGCTCCTAAATAGTCAAAGAAAAACATGAATTAGTTATATTATTTGAATTATAGATTTTTTTTGTATTATTATAGGGAACTGAACTACTGGCCTTACGTTTACTTGGGGGTGTAAATATTTGCAGCGAAACTGATAACACTGATAACAGTGGCTATAATGTTGTAATAATTGGAATTAGGTGCTATCTTAGTGCTCCTGAATAGTCGAAGAAAAACTTGAACTATCTAAAACTTCAACTTTTTGGGAGCACTTAAATAGCACCAAATTCCAATACAACATTTTAGCCGCAGTTTTCAGATTCGCTGCAATGCAAATACATCCCCAAGTAAATGTAAAGCCAGCAATTCCTTAATGAAAAAAAAATTTTACTTCAGTTTAATAATTAATACTGATTCAAGTTTTTCTTCAAATATTGAGAAGCACTTAAATAGCACTAATTCCTATCCATAAACATTTTAGCTCTGATACACCACCAACTGAACGTGAAGCCAATAATTTGCCAATAATGAAAAAAAACCGTAATTCAGTTAATAATTAACAGATTCAAGTGTTTCTTTGACAATTTAGGAGCACTTAAATAGTAGGTACCTAAATTCAATCCAAAAACATTTCAGCCTTTAACGGTTTAACGGCCAATTTCATGATAGAGAATTAAAAGTTACTTTAGCTAAATAGACTTTTAGGATGGGATTTTTCTACTTCAAATGGACCTTTATATTTAAAGTTTACTTTAAGTTGATTATGAAATTGGCTGTAAGCCTCTAACACACCCCCAATAAGTAAACGTGAATCCAGGAATTTCCTAATATTCAAAAAAAATCTGTAATTCAGTTAATAATTAACTGATTCAATTTTTTCTTTGACCAGGTATTTAGGAGAACTTTAAAAAGCATATTATCTAAATTCTGATACCAAAGAAAAATTTAAAAAAATATTTTTCACTACAGGGGACTGCTATATTTCATATTAACCTAGCAATCCCTTCGTTTTTTTCCATATGGGACTGCTAGGTTTATTGACCTAATATTCTGGGAAATCAATAAATAATACAACCCCATATGATTTTAAATCTGGGGAGATACTTTGATAGGTATATGTATTATTGACTTTACATTTATAAATAATTTTACACGTCTGTATAAACTCTACAAGGACTCTACGCTTTAATAAATAAGTATATTATATATTTCTAAAATCTTAACTCTACTGTAGACTGTAGTTAATAAAAATAAAGTCCACAATCATTCACTAAATAAATACAAATACATTTTTTAATTTATTTTTATTATTATCAGCTGATTACACCAGATGTTCCGCGCGCCCGCCGCGTACACAAACCTTCATAAGCTTCAACTACTCTTGCTACTCCTCCGCGATCATGTTAACTGATCCCGATCATAGCCGATCGCGTTCGTGAGTAGACCATTTGCGGATTAGCACAAATGCACAGTAGCACAAATGGAGCCATCTCCATTTGCTCTACCCACCCGAAGTCGCCTTCGGGCGGGAACGTCGGACGAGCCGAAGTCCGACCGGAGTATGACCCTCATCGAAACGAATGCCAGTTGTTGTAGCGCAAATGGGTGCAGCGTTGCCGTTCCCTCTCCATCTGGCGGGTATTTAAAATAGAAAATAGAATTCTATTTCGATATTTTTCAAGTATTGAGTGCGTGTGGTGTTTTGTTTACTTTAAAAATGGAAAATTTTAACTTTTAATATTTTATTGGTTAAATATTAATTTATTTTAACCTTCCATCGCGAGTTTTATAACATCATTAGTCACGCTGTATCACAGAGATACATATACTAAATCATTGATAAAAAAATTGAACCATCTGATGAATTTCGGTTTTACAATTTCTATGTATTGATTCGGGTACTCAACAATCAAAGATAGAACATTTTCACTGAGAAAGAGATTCCAGAAGTTGAATTCTATTATCGCTATCTTAATGTTTCGAGCGCGCTCGGACTGCTCGGAGTTTACCGAGTGTAAAGCCACTGTGTGCAGAAGCTAGTTTCTGGATAGGAATTAGCAAATAAGCTATCCAAGTGCTCCTAAATAGTCGAAGAAGAACAATCATTCAGATTTTTTTCATTACCAGGAATCACCTTTTCTACATTTAAAATCGATGAAGAAACAAGCACAACCTGAATCGCAAGCATCCCATCGAGGCTTGCGGGTGACGTCACCACTATAAGAGGCTATGCTGCTAATAGTACTAACGTCACTCGCAGGCCTTGCCGACTCGAGAATTGGCGAACGTACGCCTTATAAGGAAAAGCAATCCTATAGTTTATGATTCTTGCTATGCAAGTGTTTCCAAATAGTCAAAAGAAAATTTGATCAGTTAATCATTAAACTAAATAGAGATTTTTTCTCATTATTAGGAAATGGAAATTGTTGGCTTCACGTTTAACTAGTTGGTGGTTAAAAGCTAATTTTTTTCTGGATAGGACTTAGGTGCTCAAGTGCTCCTAAATAGTCAAAGAAAAACATGAATTAGTTATATTATTTGAATTATAGATTTTTTTTGTATTATTATAGGGAACTGAACTACTGGCCTTACGTTTACTTGGGGGTGTAAATATTTGCAGCGAAACTGATAACACTGATAACAGTGGCTATAATGTTGTAATAATTGGAATTAGGTGCTATCTTAGTGCTCCTGAATAGTCGAAGAAAAACTTGAACTATCTAAAACTTCAACTTTTTGGGAGCACTTAAATAGCACCAAATTCCAATACAACATTTTAGTCGCAGTTTTCAGATTCGCTGCAATGCAAATACATCCCCAAGTAAATGTAAAGCCAGCAATTCCTTAATGAAAAAAAAATTTGTACTTCAGTTTAATAATTAACTGATTCAAGTTTTTCTTCAAATATTGAGAAGCACTTAAATAGCACTAATTCCTATCCATAAACATTTTAGCTCTGACACACCACCAACTGAACGTGAAGCCAATAATTTGCCAATAATGAAAAAAAACTGTAATTCAGTTAATAATTAACAGATTCAAGTGTTTCTTTGACAATTTAGGAGCACTTAAATAGTAGGTACCTAAATTCAATCCAAAAACATTTCAGCCTTTAACGGTTTAACGGCCAATTTCATGATAGAGAATTAAAAGTTATTTTAGCTAAATAGACTTTTTGGATGGGATTTTTCTACTTCAAATGGACCTTTATATTTAAAGTTTACTTAAAGTTGATTATGAAATTGGCTGTAAGCCTCTAAAACACCCCCAATAAGTAAACGTGAATCCAGGAATTTCCTAATATTGAAAAAAAATCTGTAATTCAGTTAATAATTAACTGATTCAATTTTTTCTTTGACCAGGTATTTAGGAGAACTTTAAAAAGCATATTATCTAAATTCTGATACCAAAGAAAAATTTAAAAAAATATTTTTCACTACAGGGGACTGCTATATTTCATATTAACCTAGCAATCCCTTCGTTTTTTTCCATATGGGACTGCTAGGTTTATTGACCTAATATTCTGGGAAATCAATAAATAATACAACCCCATATGATTTTAAATCTGGGGAGATACTTTGATAGGTATATGTATTATTG